CCGAGGCTGTGCGGGAGGGAGGAGAAGAGGATGGGAAGCTGAGTGGAAAGGACCCTCCCAGCAAGCACAGGAGGGTCTTCCTGTAGAATCACAGAGGAGAAAAGGAAGGCCAATCAGTAAGAGGAACTCCGTGTTGGAGGAGTCACGTGGTAACCCCACAGAGTGTCCACTTCTTCAGCCACCTCAGGGGCACAAACCATAAGACTGAGCTATGAATGGCACCAGGAATTCCATCAGCAACCTGAATATGCTTAGTGTCAGAGCAGTGTCTGAATCAAGAACATGTACTTTGGAGCTTGTTTATCTGGTTTCAAAACAAAACCTTGCCACATACTGGCCATATGAACTTGGGTAAATTACCTAATTTCTATGTGCCTCAGTTTCCCCATGTGTAAAATGGGGAATAAGCATCTACTTGATATAGTTGCTGGAAAATACTTAGAACAGTGCCTGACAGGATGAATACTGAAAAATTAGCTAAAACAATTGTTTTCTGTTATTTTATAATAATCTCTTCTGGTAACCTTGTGGTAAGCACCTCGAAATAGATATGCCTGTTCTGCAGTTTAAATATTCCCAAAATGTATAGGAGAAGGAAATTTGCCAGAAAAGGAGCTAGCTCCTTAGGGAACAGATGGAAAAGTGTGCTGACATCTTAGAAACAAGAGCAAGTAGCAATACAGTCTGCAAAATCCGTTGCAGTTTTATAAAAGAAATGAAGCCAGTTCCTAATTGGCAGCCATTAAAATAACTTTTCTTGGTGGAGCAGTTCAGAAAAACAAGGCTGTGCGACAGCCGAGTGTCAGGAGGCAATTGCCCTTGACTGACAGGCAGCACCAAGCCTCACGCTATTAAGGAGAGCATTTTCATAGGCACGTTTCCCCCGCACAACAAAGGGGCCAGCTTAAAGCATTTGCCAAGCATCCGCCTCTTAATCAAAAACTAACACGGGGGAGCTGACAGGGTTGAACATCTATCTATTAAAAACTGAGCCAACAATTAGTCCCAGATTTCATTAACTGTTTAACTACAATGAGCAGGTCTCCCGTGGGGTGGTCAGTTATCTCTGCTTTATTAAGATGGGAGATGAATAAAGGGGCCAGAGTCTCTACGATGATGTGGAGAGATTCTGTTCTGGTTTCACTTAAAGTTACAGAGCATAACTAAGAAACGAAGGCTGAAGCATTACAAAAACAGCACAGGGAATGAATGTTCACGGACCAGTGAAGGCGATGGCTATTAGTTTTGTCTCCTGTGAGTCCGAGAATGTTCCATCGCTTGAAAAATCTAATTGCAAATGCATCACGTAAGCCACTTATTTCTACTCCTTGTTCAGAATCCAGAGATCCAAGGAGCCAGCACCCCAGACTCTCTGTGAGATGCAGGAAAGGTAAAAATGTGCCTTAAGCAACTGCCATCCCGGTGGTTCCTGGCATGACATCCTCTGAGCTGTCAGTCAAGGCTGTCTGCTCTGCTTGGCTGGCCACCGCCAGCAACAGGAGAAGTGGCAGCTGTCTCTTGTTCTCTCACTGTTCACCTGCCTCTCCCTCCTCTCACAGACAGTGATGGGGGTGGAGGTCCTGCAGTTTCTGCCGCTCCTTCCTTGTCCTAAGGCTGCTCAGAAAGGAACTCTCTGGCAGGAATTCTCAGCCCACTCACCGGGAAGTTATGCTTTCCAATTCCCCAAATTCCACAATTCCATACTTACTCTGTGTCCATTCCTCTGTAAGCCCTGGGGATACTGAGTTTATGATATTTGTTCCTGAATACAAATTCATAGTCCAGTAAGTGTAAAAGGCATTTAGAGAGGGGAGAAAAAAACAGCAAGAGATACAAAGTTATAAACGATGTTATCCATATGCTTTAACTCCTACCACATGACTTTCTCATACTGTTACATTTTAATATATAATATAAATAAGGCAAACATATTTTAGTATGTTTCCTTTCAGTATAATCGTATTGGAAAGTATTTTTCAGATTAGGTTTATCTGTTACTATGGTTCCTTCTCATAGGGTGAGAGCTGCCTTGGTGGTCACCAAGCATCCCTCAATGGGTCCCTTTTTCTGGAAAACCCCAGGGACGTTTACCTCAGGGATGTGCTGCTTTGGAATCCCACGTAGGCTGCAGTAATAATGAAGGTGTTCCCAACCGGTCAGAAGCTCGTCCAGAGCATCCTGCTGTGGACAGTAGCCAATGAGCACGCCCGCCGCGCCAGCAGAAGACAGGTCGACGTCAGCTCTGCACAGAGAAGCAGCGAGGTTGAGAACAGCAGTTTCCAAAACAAGCATCAACCATTTTTGACATTTGGCTCATCAATATGAAATCCACTGCAGTTGTCTAATGCAATTAATTCATTTCCCATGAATAGTTTTAATTAATGAAAAGTGAAGCATTTCAGAATATATCACCCCAAAATACACCTCTTTGGCAAATTGATTATTTTGAGCAATGAGCAGTTGAGAACCAGCAGACAAAGCAAAAGCTCTTTACTTCCCCCTAAATGGCTAAACATTGGATATAAATTTCTCCTTTTGAAAAGGAAATTCACATTCATAAAGGAAATTTTTATTTGTAAAGATGTCTCTATACTACGGACAGAGCTACTTCTCCAGACCACTCTGGTCTCCTAGACACTCATCTGTGTGATGACACAACCCTAATTCACAGCATATTTCCTCCCTCACCTGCCCATAAACTGCCTCCCCTGCCCAGAAGCCCCAAACCCACCCCCTTTTTGTTGTTGTTGTTTTTGTTTAGCCTAAGTGGGTGTATAAGCCTCAATCTTCAGGCCTGCTCATTGAGTTTTATTTTTCTGTGAAACTCCTGGGCATATACACATTCGTATTTAAACTGTTTTTTTTCTTTTTAATAAGTACTTCGTCAGTTTCATATCCAAGGCCCCAGCTGGAGAACCTAAGAAAGTAGAGGGAAAAAGTTCTCTTCCCTCCTACAGCAGGAACCCATGTGTCCAGCAGAACAATCTTGGCTCCAGAATCAGAGGCCTGGGTGTTAACTGGGGTAAGTCCACAACAGCTTTGGGTGCTAAAGAAAAACATGTATTTCACAAATAACATGTGCTCAATGAATGGCTGTCATATTTATTATTTCCCAACCAAAATGATTCATGTGAACAACAAATAAATCAACGACTTGTGAACTAAAATAGAATCTCAACCCCTTCGCCAACTGAATGGACCCACTCTTGGCCAATCTTAAAGCTGATGTATAGGCCTGAGAGGAAAGGAGGCCAGACATACCTTGCCATGCCCCTGCCTTCTGGAGTTACTCTTTGTAATGATAAGATGCAAAATCATTAAGAAGCCTAAAGCCATGTAAGATGTAAGGTTAAAGGACACCTGCAGGTCGTCAATTTACTTAACAGATCACTTGAGTCTGGTTATATGTCCTGTGCCTTGTCTCCGTTAACAGACTTCCTTATCTTAACTTAAAAAATTCTAATCCTTTAGAAAAAGCTTCATTTCTTTAACCAATTACAAATCAAAGAATCGTTAAACCCACCTATAACCCATAAGTGTGCCTCCCCACTCCCGCCTCCAAGACGTCCTGCCTTTTTAGGCCAAAGCAACGTACTCTCTCCACATATGATCTTACATGTAATTCCTGTCTCTGTGAATGCATAAAACCAAACCGTGACCCTACTACTGCAGGCACATTTTCTCAGGGCCTCTTGAGCTCCCAGCCAATCACACACATTCAGTTCAGAATAACCCTCTTTACATTATTTTACAGAGTTTGGGTGTTTTTCCGTTAACAAACTTAACTATCATT